GATTTAATTATTAATTAATTATTTAAATACGGTAACCAATCAATCACTTTTCTGGAACGTATACTCGTCTTGCAATAGGTACGCTTGTTTAATCGTACATATATAATTATAATGCAGGATTAATTAATTATATATTTTATTCTAAGATACAAATCAAGTTTCTTGATAAGTTACAGCTATAGTTAAATTAAATTTCTTCTAAGCAATAAAGTTTCAACTTAGAATATTTTGCAGGATAAAATAAACACTTCTTTACTAAAAATTATGCTATTAAAACTACTTCGTAAAACTATGAATTTAATAAAGTATTTCGCCATACGTTCTTTCAAGAACATAATAAGGTCTTGTTTTGTAAACTGGCACAGGACCTATTCTATTTTTTCAGTAAATGTTTTCTCATACACGATTTCAAACAAAATGTTTTCGTTACACAATTACTGAGTAGGGAGTTATCAACTCACTCTGGCTAGACAATGAACATGCTTGCTTCATCAGATAAGACAAAAGATATCAATTAACGTCTCCGTGGTAACGTTAACTTTTAACCCTACTACTCTAGTATTGTTGCTTTTTATTGAGTAACAAACGATTGAATCGATAGCATGAATCGTGTAAATATTTGAGTATATATAATTAAGAAACGAATATCATATGTATGAACTTTAGAAACACTTCAGTGGAGGAAACCAATTTTCAACCTATTCTTATATAAATTATATATGTATACATATTTAAATATATGTGGCCTATATATAAATCATGATATAATATATATATGGCCTATAGAATAAATAATGAAACAATATTAGTATTGTTGCTTTTTACTAAGCAACAAACGATTGAATCGATGGCATGAATCGTGTACATATTTGAGTATAAATAATTAAGAAACGAATATCATATGTATGAACTTTAGAAACACTTCAGTGGAGGAAACCAATTTTCAACCTATTCTTAATTTGAGTATAAATAATTAAGAAACGAATATCATATGTATGAACTTTAGAAACAATATATATGGCCTATATAATAAATAATGAAACAATATTAGTATTGTTGCTTTTTACTGAGCAACAAACGATTGAATCGATGGCATGAATCGTGTACATATTTGAGTATATATAATTAAGAAACGAAATCATAAGTATGAACTTTAGAAATACTTCAGTGGAGGAAACCAATTTTCAACCTATTCTTATATAAATTATATATGTATGCATATTCAAATATCGCCTATATAAATTATGATATAATAGATAAAATCCAAACTACCTTTATATATAATAATAATAAGAAACGAATACCATACTTTATTGGAAAAGAACTTCAATCTATCGAAAGTTTTGATTGAAGCAATGGTTTTTATTATATTTTTATGATGTTTACAATTCTTAATGTGACTTTTTCAATAGTTATTTTTAAGTAGTTTTATATAGTGTGTAGGCCTATATATAAAATGAAAAAGAGGGCCGAGTTAACCTGCCGGGCCGAGTTGACTGGGGCCTAGTTGACTCGAAAGCTTTGTATTTAGCGAGCGATATTGTATTATTAATTGTGAATGCGTCATCGGCGTTCCATACATATACACGCATTGGCGGCTGTTCTGGAGGGCGGCCGCTATAGGTAGATATGGGCCTATGAACGATCATGGGCCTATGAATGGGCCGAAATGATCCGAGACCAGCTGACTTATTATGAGCTAGTTCGAGCGACTTGAGGCTTTGGTGTAAAGCGCTATATAAATCTAACTACATTACATTACATTCCTATGACTATGTAGGCCTAGCTAGCCTAGTTTAGGCCTATATTGTTTCTTTTTTCCATTAAAATTTTTAAATTGTTTAGGGATTGATAAGAAGAATTAAGATTCAACCAAAGCAATTGGCAATAATACAATACTTTTGAGTCTTTATGTAACTATGCCTAGGCTAGGCCTACCCTTATTCTATATAAAACTAGCCTAGGCCTCCTAATAGCTAGGCAAGAGTACTATTAGGCATAGGCCTATTACCCCGCGGCCCTAGGCTAGCCTAGGCCTAGTCTAGCTGGAGAAGAGGGCAGCAGGCCTTCCTTGCTTGGCTTCAAGGCTTGGTTGGCCGCCCTTCTTGTTTGCCAAATATATCACCATTTAGCATCTAACTACAATTTTTTAAACAAAATAAGAAACTAAGCATTAAAAAAATACCTGGTGGGTAGTATCTCAACAAAAAACGTTTTAACTTCATGATATTTCTTCGAGAAAGTTGATCTTCTGTGCTGGAATCTCAAGAAAGCCACAGCAACGTACCAAAGCGTCAAGTTGTCAAGAGATGAAGGCCGCCCTCTCTATACTGAGTGAGTTGCCGCCAAGTTGCCGCAAATTCATTCATCAAAAATAGATTATTTTATTGATTGTGCATTGATATTTTTAATTATTGCTATAGTTTTGATAAGCATTGCGGTACGTTGTATATTATTATCCTTATTTTAAAATGAACTTGCTTTCTGGAGTCATAATGCTGTTCCCAATATATTGGTTGATCTTAAAACAAATGTAGTACTGCGGCAACATTGAGATACGCCACACAGGAATACTCAAGTACCTATTGCTCTTCTACTCAGTGCGGTCACTGTCACTTTGTGTCGCGCCGTGCTGTGTGCCGCTGCGCGAACCAGAAGTGAGGATGGCTACAAGTTCAGAGCCAGACGCAGAAACCAAATTGATGTTTAAAAGGTAAGTATGCAACTTTTATTTAACTAATACATCTTCAGTATATAGTATAACAAAGGAAATTAGAAAGTCCTACATTTGCACATTATTGTACAAGACATTTAACGATGAGAATAAGTGTAAAGTTTTCCTGCTTGTGACTTCTTTTAGGCCCAAGTCAAGCCATGGCATGACGTAGAGATGAGAAAGGGGGCGGTGACACCACCTGCTGTGACCAATCTATATCAACAACAAATTCAATTGATAAACCTTGACTAGGGCCTAGCTCTAGGAGAGTAGTATTTTTACCTCAATTTGAGACTTGTGAGAATTTGGAATTTGTTCTTGTTGACCGTCAGGTTGTAATCCATTCTAGGAAACCAACCTGGCCTGCAAATGGGTAGACCTAGGCTAGCTAGGCCCTAGCCTAGGCCTAGATTTACAAACAAAAACAAATTGGAAGGAAGTTCAGGCCTACAATGACTGACACTGACCACATGACAATGTTAAAAATTGAGAGAATCATTGTCAACTCATGACTGTAGTCCAACTAACTAAACCATATCTAAACTAAATTTTTGGATGCTTAATTCCAAAGATAAAATTTTCATCATAAAGATTGAAAAAAAGGAGATAGGACCTAGTTTTCAATAGTACCGTATGTTCTCTCCAAACTACTTACTCATTCCTCACAAATTGTCCAAACAGAATATGAGAACTGCATACTTACGTTCAACCCTCCAAATTCAATCCCAAATTTTGTGAAATTTTCAGATAACAAACCCAAAATACCCAAAACAGCTAATTGAGTGGCTTTTTGGTACCAATAATTGAGCATTTCTCTGTCAGTCTTTCCTTTGTCATCAGCAACTTTGGTGTACAAAGACTTCCCTGGGGTTGCTGACACCTCAAATCATCCATGTATGAAAAATAAAAACTAAAAAAAAAAAGGATTTTCAACATTTTGTGGTGGGGAGCACCTTCTCTCGGGCATGTCCAGTTTTCCCAAATTTTGGGTTGGAATGTCTGGATCTGGTTTAAAACTAGTGCAACAATAGCCACTGCCAATTTCATAACATTCGAGTGCTCTTGTCTAATGTTCTGACCCAGTTATTCAAAGTAATGTATTGCTGTTCATCGGACAACATAAAATACACTTAAACCAAATTCAAGCACAAACCATGCATTCATCGTAACATAGTACCCATTTTCTGAGGCTAGCATTAGGCCCTAATTATTTAAGTAGCAGACCGTGATGACATTTCTCAAACATGCACTACAATTTGAAACTCTGGAAAGAATGTGTGCAAATTTAAATGTTTGCTCAGACATTTGAAGTACTAATTTTTAATTTGGCTACATAACTATGGCCTAATGACATGACTGTTACAGTAATGACAATAAAACCGAAAATTAATTTCAACAGAATTTAATTAAGTCCGTCTTTATATACCTGGTTTTGTTAATAATGTAGTAAAACAATGACCTAAATAATCATCCAATGAAAGTATTACCCAATTATAGTTACTGCACATACATTTTTAATGGCTTTTAATTTTATATTATTTATTATGGGCCTACTTTATATTGTGAACGCATTTGCCGATCTAAGAGTTGACTTATCAGTCACCAAAAAATGTGTACACCTTGAAGGTAAGTGTGCTCCTGTGAAACTGTATGCTGTCTCCCAGCATCAGGAACTGATAAACGGGTGCCAAAATGAAATGACTTTATATTGTGATATAAACTTTTGCTACATTTCAGACATATTTTGCCAGTACAGATTTTATAAATATAACTTAATCAAAAAAATTCTCGAACTACTGTAGGTATCAATACTTGTTAAATGCACATTTCATTGCCATCATTGAAAATTACCTTGCACATAGTACAAAATGCTTCCACACAGTGTTTGTTAAGCCTTCTTTTCATGATTAAATTCAAAGGCTGTTAAATATAATTTTGAATAATGGAGGATTTAATGTTGTATGAGAAAAATGTATTAGTCTCCTTCGAGATTGGCACCCAAAACCCACTGATTACTACTTAATTCATTGCTACAATATAGCAACTGAGCCACAGTATTATGAGCCAGCTGCTGTTCCGGTAGGCCTACTCCTTTGAATTTCCCCATTAGATGTTGAATTTGAAGTATTTCCTTGGATTTTCCCAGCTGGGTAAACACGTCATGGGAAAATCCAATGGAGTACCCATCTTCCTTTCATGTTTCCATTAGGATATTTAACAACATCATCTTCTAAAAGGATAGTAAACAATTTTTCTAAGAAACCAGATGTCTTCTTCTTCTTTCTTTCTTTCTTTATTGAAATTTAAACAGGAAGTCCCACTCAGCATGGCTGATTTTCAGGGGAGTCCTCTCACATGTAAACTTATAAAATTCACAGTAAAAAGTTCTTTAAAAACATGAAGGAAAAACCAAAATAATCAACAATTCAAGCTTATGAAAATAAAAAGGCCTTAAAATGTTTTTTAAAAAGAGAATAAAGATGTTTCCGCTTTGATAGTACATAGTAAAGTGTTCCAAATTTTGGCCCCAGATCATCCAACCGCGGACCCCCGTATAAGAGATAATGTAACATGTTTGTAGGGATATAAATTACTCTCCCCTCTGCCAGCCTGCGAGTTAAACTGAGTGACCAAAATGTCTCCATTTTTTCAGTTGTAAGATGCTGAATAATTAAAAAGAAAAAAAACCTCACAAATTGTCCAAACAGAATATGAGAACTGCATACTTACGTTCAACCCTCCAAATTCAATCCCAAATTTTGTGAAATTTTCAGATAACAAACCCAAAATACCCAAAACAGCTAATTGAGTGGCTTTTTGGTACCAATAATTGAGCATTTCTCTGTCAGTCTTTCCTTTGTCATCAGCAACTTTGGTGTACAAAGACTTCCCTGGGGTTGCTGACACCTCAAATCATCCATGTATGAAAAATAAAAACTAAAAAAAAAAAAAAGATTTTCAACATTTTGTGGTGGGGAGCACCTTCTCTCGGGCATGTCCAGTTTTCCCAAATTTTGGGTTGGAACGTCTGGATCTGGTTTAAAACTAGTGCAACAATAGCCACTGCCAATTTCATAACATTCGAGTGCTCTTGTCTAATGTTCTGACCCAGTTATTCAAAGTAATGTATTGCTGTTCATCGGACAACATAAAATACACTTAAACCAAATTCAAGCACAAACCATGCATTCATCGTAACATAGTACCCATTTTCTGAGGCTAGCATTAGGCCCTAATTATTTAAGTAGCAGACCGTGATGACATTTCTCAAACATGCACTACAATTTGAAACTCTGGAAAGAATGTGTGCAAATTTAAATGTTTGCTCAGACATTTGAAGTACTAATTTTTAATTTGGCTACATAACTATGGCCTAATGACATGACTTTTACAGTAATGACAATAAAACCGAAAATTTATTTCAACAGAATTTAATTAAGTTTGTCTTTATATACCTGGATTTGTTGGAGAATAATGTAGTAAAATAATGACCTAAATAATCATCCAATGAAAGTATTACCCAATTATAGTTACTGTACATACATTTTTAATGGCTTTTAATTTTATATTATTTATTATGGGCCTACTTTATATTGTGAACGCATTTGCCGATCTAAGAGTTGACTTATCAGTCACCAAAAAAAGTGTACACCTTGAAGGTAAGTGTGCTCCTGTGAAACTGTATGCTGTCTCCCAGCATCAGGAACAGATGAACGGGTGCCAAAATGAAATGACTTTATATTGTGATATAAACTTTTGCTACGTTTCAGACCTATTTTGCCAGTACAGATTTTATAAATATAACTTAAAATTTATTCTTAAAAAAAATTCTCGAACTACTGTAGGTATCAATACTTGTTAAATGCACATTTCATTGCCATCATTGAAAATTACCTTGCACATAGTACACAATGCTTCCACACAGTGTTTGTTAAGCCTTCTTTTCATGATTCAATTCAAAGGCTGTTAAATATAATTTTGAATAATGGATGATTTAATGTTGTATGAGAAAAATGTATTAGTCTCCTTCGAGATTGGCACCCAAAACCCACTGATTACTACTTAATTCATTGCTACAGTATAGCAACTGAGCCACAGTATTATGAGCCAGCTGCTGTTCCGGTAGGCCTACTCCTTTGAATTTCCCCATTAGATGTTGAATTTGAAGTATTTCCTTGGATTTTCCCAGCTGGGTAAACACGTCATGGGAAAATCCAATGGAATACCCCTCTTCCTTTCATGTTTCCATTAGGATATTTAACAATATCGATCTTCTAAAAGGATAGTAAACAATTTTTCTAAGAAACCAGATGTCTTCTTCTTTCTTTCTTTCTTTCTTTCTTTCTTTCTTTCTTTCTTTCTTTCTTTCTTTCTTTCTTTCTTTCTTTCTTTCTTTCTATTGATATTTAAACAGGAAGTCCCACTCAGCATGGCTGATTTTCAGGGGAGTCCTCTCACATGTAAACTTATAAAATTCACAGTAAAAAGTCAAAAAGACAGTTCTTTAAAAACATGGAGGAAAAACCAAAATAGTCAACAATTCAAGCTTATGAAAATAAAAAGGCCTTAACATGTTTTTTAAAAAGAGAATAAAGACGTTTCTGCTTTGATAGTACATAGTAAAGTGTTCCAAATGTTGGCCCCAGAGCATCCAACCGCGGACCCGCCCCCCCCCCTCATTTAAATGTAACATGTTTGTAGGGATATAAATTACTCTCCCCTCTGCCAGCCTGCGAGTTAACTGAGTGACCAAAATTTCTCCATTTTTTCAGTTGTAAGATGCTGAATAATTAAAAAGAAGTAATTCTTCACAGTTGAAGACTTGTGAAATTACACCTCATATTTGATGCATCATTGAATTCATATTCCTATTTCAGAAACTTGTTACATAAATTACAGTGTCTTAAAGAACATACTGTTGGATGCATCATCTCCAGTATATTTACATACATTATGCCGCATGAATGCTATATAGAATAAACACATTTCGAAAACCT